AAGATTAGTTACTGTTTTCAATATATGGCACATTATTAGAGCTATTTGAGATACACAAGCATACAATTTATGGTAAAATAATATATTAAAAAGGTGACAGTCTTTTAAAGGCAGAAGATATAAGCCCATTATCTATCTGTGCATCTATCCGTTTATTCATCCTTCCATTCATTAACGCTCTTTTCATATAAGAAAATAAGATTTATTTGGTAGTTTCCCCAAGGGACAGATGAAACAGAAAGAAGCTGATGGTTCATGGAGTAATATGTTTCCATCTCTCTTCAGCTTTCTAGAGCTCCCTCTTCCCATAGCACGACCTCTCAGGCTTCATACTTATCTACCCCAGCATAACCTCTAGTCAGCGCAAGAACTTCCATCATGCACCAGTCAGAGATCATTATTCCATGTGAGCGGCATGGGTGAAAGGCAGTGTGTGTGTGTGACTACTTTCATGTGTACTGGAGGATAGTGTGGAGGAGGCTGGAGTGTTTCTTCAACCAAAAGTTTGTTTGAAGGGGCTAGAGTATGCAAGAGCTAGAGCAATACTATGTATGCATGTGTCAGGAAGGCAAAAGAAAATTGTTCTTTTATCTAAATGCACTCTTCCCTCTCGCTATGGGGAACTATAAGAGATATTTTCCATTTTTGTCAGAAAAGGGGATAAACTACTTTATGCCCTGTTTAATGTAATTTAAAAGTAGGATTGTCTATATAGCCATATTTGAATCTGCACACTTACTAAACTGTCCAAAAGCCTTTTGCTGTTGATTAAATAAATTCATAATGAATAGAAGAATTTCTTTGTTCCGGTGGATGCTGAAATACAGACAAAATGTTAGGAAATTGCAATAAACATATTGCAGATACACTTGCATGTGTACATATCTTGAGAAGCCTGAGACAGGTGAGTGATGACATGGTGTGTAAATAACCTGAAGAATCTACCTGTACTTACCCCTACACCACCTCTTCACTCTGCCCATCTCAGAGGACTGTAAATGACAACCTCTGGATCACGGATGTGAGCAGGACTATCACAGAAAGAGGGCAGACATTTAGAGGTATCACCATGTACTCAGTGATTCACTATTTATCTTGCTTATTTATTCACACAGCTAAAAAACACTTATTGACATCCTTCTGTGGGTCTAATAACTGTTATAAGAACTAGCAGAATAAAGATGAAAAACACATTGTTATTGTCCTTAGAAAATTGCAATTGAATGAGAGAAATAATCATCATGGACTGTAAATGCCAGCACACACGCCCACACAAATGGAGCTAACAAAGTGTATTGTGGGGAGCACATAGTGGAGTCAGCTGCCATAGGGCTCAGAGTTAGGGGAGACATCCTGGAGGAAGTGATGTCTGAATGAAGTATAATGCTTAAGTCTGCCCGAGTCAAGTCATATATAAAAAGAAAGAAAACTCTGGTAGAGTAGAAGAGAAGAGCACCTTAAGGAAACTGTATACATGCCAAAGTATAGAGCTGTGGCATAGCAGACATATTTAGACAGCTACATGAAATTCAGTGTTGGAACACTTTGCGTTTGCAGTAGGACATGATCGCAGATGAGGCCGAAACACCAAGCTGGGATCCAAAGTCCTCCATTCGAATAAACTTGGCATCATGCTCATGTTTTTATCCACAGGGCTCTGTGTGACTGCGAGGAGAGTGGGAAGAGAAGCCATTATGGCAGTAAAAACGAGAGATGCTGAAGGCATAAGCACTCCGTAGGCATCAGGTAAGGAAGGGGAAGTGGAACTCTTAAGAATATGCCAGCTTTCTAGCTCTCTCTGGCTTGAGTGGTGAGGGGATGATACTGCCTCCATTTGGGTGAAAACATCTCGGAAAAATGGGCTCTAGGAAAAAGGTGATAGTTTCGGATTTGCACTCTTCAAGTGTAAGGGCCTCAGAGAAAGCCAAGTAATTACCTAGGAATCTTGAGAACCCTGAGAACACCCAGGGAAATATGAAAAAGCACAGTGGAGTGTGAAAAGAATTTCATCACTAGCAGCAACTCTTCCTGCCCCTGCGACTTGGTGAACAATTCTACGCAGGTGAGGTTCTTCCTCTGATGTACCACGTAGATAATAACTGTGGTTGGTTGTGAGGATGAAGTGAGATAATATGATAATAATACCTAGTATTTATTACATGTTCTTTGAGGGCCAGACATTGTTTTAATGGACTGTCTGTATCTCTAGTGGATGTCAGTTTTATTTTTTTCCTAGGGAATGAAGCAGATCTGACTCCCCAAGTTTTCCCAGCCAATAAATCATGAGCTTAAATTTGATCCCAGGAGGTCAGTGTTAGAGACCACACTCCACGCCACCGTTTTCCTTATTAACTATTGTTATGATAACATACACATCAGGCTTATGGTACTGATCTCCAGTTGGGAAAAGTTTTCATTCATGGAATATCTGCCATGACAGAGACTTAATTCAGTACATTCTATTTACTGAAAGGAGTATGTCCTATAAGACAAAAGTCTCTGACTTCACAAAGTCTACATTTTAGTATAGCAAGAAAATCATAAATATATAAATAAAAACATATGGATAATTTTAAGCAGTGATCAAAATTAAAAAAAAAAAATAAATGATACAGTGCATGTAGGTGGGAAGGCTTCCTCAGCTCAGATGGTCAAGAACAGACCCTCCTCGGAGGTGGTATTTGACCTGTGGTAAGATGACAAGAAGGGGACAGCTGTGCAGGAAGGAAAGCTAGAAGTTTTCAGGTAAAGGACAAGCACCGCCCAGGCCCAGATTGGGAAGGAGTTTAGGGATGAGGAACACAAAGGAGGCCGATCTGGTTCCAGGCAGGCGGGATTGAGAGGAGAAGACAAGAATTATAGGCCATGATTAGCTAGATTATTAAGAATATTAGAGCATGATGAATGGTTTTGAGTGTTTTTCTTGGTGTAATGGGCTGTTTTAGAGTTTTGTGGACAGTAGTGATACAAAATGATTTAGGCTTTGAAAAGATTATTACCTGGAGAGTGGAGACTAGGCAACAGGAAAACCCTACAAGAGATGCTATCACTCAAATGAGCATTTGTGATGTTAAAAAGTGGTCAGCTTATGAACATATATTTGGGCATAATGCTGGCAAAAGCTGTTAATGCAGATATGAAAGAAAGAGAGGAGTTAGGGATGAATCATGAGATGTAACATGAATTATGGGAGGCTGTGAGGCTGAATGAGGAAAGAGAAATGCTTAGGTGGAAGAACAAAGAATTTTGGTAAGGTGTGTTTACTGTGTAACTGTTATGGTTTGTGTCTTCATGTCCCCTCAAATCCTCATGCAGTCATGGGCTTTTGGTGTTTATGATTGAGCCATGATCCAATGCTGGGATTATGGGTGTGAGTGCTACACCTGCCCTGGGGCAGGTAGTTTGCATACATTGTAAGGGAGGGAAAGAGGCTGCTTGCCACCACTCCTCGCTTTTGCTCTTGTTGCTTTGCTGTTCTGCAGCCATAAATGGTTGCCCTCTGCTGTGTGCCACCCTTCCTTGGAGCCAGCCGAGTATGGACTGAAACCTCCACAAACTGTGAGCTAAATAAACTTTTCCTTCCTTAATTCTGGGTGCTGGGTATTTTGTCTCAGCAACGAGAGAAAAGTAACCAAGACAGTAACATACCTAAAAAAGTACATATAGATTTGAATTTAAATCCAATTAAATTCAAGTGCAGCGGGATTTTGCAATTTTTAACCTGCTGGATCAATGCATTCAAAAACAAGCAGCAAATAATTCTTATAAGACTTTTTTAAAATCATATTTAAATTATTAGAGTTGCATGAAAAATCATCAGGTTGCAAACTGAGGTGCAAATCCTATAAATCTGTAGATTCACCCTCCCACTGTACCTTTACTTGTGTTGACAGGGCCTACAGAAAGCCAGAGTCTGAAAGCTGAGTAACCTGGTAGTCAATCACTTAAGCCACCATGAGAATGGGATTTTCAATCTCTTCATCCCTTTTCTTCTGTCTTTGGGGCAAGGTTGGATTTTCCAAGGAGTGATCAAGTACAAGCCTCTCAACTGGTATAGTAGCATGGTTCTTTTGTATGTTTTTAGGAAGGGGACAGACACAAATTGTGCTTTCCTGCAAATTTGAGCTAATTTTATAAGGTGGGAAATTGACTAACCTACTTCTGAGGGAGTCCACTCCATTTCTGAGTCTCCCTATCTTAGCTCCCAGCTCTGAATCCCATTGTTGTGAATATGTAATGTCCACTCAGATACTAAAGATGCCAGGCAGAAGAACCAGGAGAATGGCTCCAGATCTTTCTTTCAAGTGTCTGGGCAGGATCGTGGTGACATTTGTCCATATATTCAAATTAACAATGACTTAGCTCAGGGAATTCTCACTGGCCTGTGGGCCTTTTGCCTCCATTACAGGCCCTGCAGCTCACAATTTTGTGTTTCATATATGGAGGCTCCAAATGGAGCTACTGGGGGAAAACACTTTTAAAACACCATTTAGACAACAGAGGGTAAGTCAATAGAATCTAGGTTAACACTAAATTTGTATCCTTCCCTGATGTTAGTTTACTTTGGATCCATTTCACAGGGATGTAAGAGTCAGCTAGGGAGCAGAGGTAAAGTGTGCTCCCCGTAACAACACACCTTGTGTCACTACGAAGGTGGCTTCCCCAAAGCAGGAAGAACAATGTCTCTTTCTCCTCTAGGCTCTGAGCCTTGGCCTGGATTTTCTTAGTTTCTTTGCTTGTGGTTTAGGCTAGAATCCTCATCAAGTTTGTTTGTTCTTGAGGAAAAAATATTTAGTGATTGTTGCTTTGTAGTTTACTAGTGTTCTAACCATCCTTGTTAACTGATGTGCATGCAGTAGGAGTGGATAGAACAGCTGGATTTGTTTTCTTTCTTTAAGTCACTGAAGAGCTTTTAGGATCACAGTTCAGAAATGATCAAACTAAAAAATGTCTCTCTGGTTATCTCTGTTAGGTCAAGAAGATGTGAATCAGCTTGTGGGTTTACCAGAATGCTTTGTTATTTTCCACGGAAAAGTGGAGAGTTCTTTTTGGCTAGCAGCTTCCTTCCGCCTCTCTGTCCTTCAGCACAGTCATTGTGTAATTGGGTTTTTAAAAAAAACATGGAAAAGTTTCTCAACTGCACTAACACAGAGGAACTTGTACTGCATCCAGCAATCCAGCAAGTCTTTTGGGAGCCTGGCAGACAGATTCTGGCGTCAACAAGGCACCAAGCTCCAAGATCAAGGTAAAGGTCTACAAACAATAGAGCTGTCCAAAAAAGACTGTGAGGCTCTGATACCTGGACCTGCTACAGATACCGTTTTCAGCTTCTGGGTGAGGTCCTATCGGTTATATCTATAAGCTTTATTTACCAAGCTCACAGTTAATGAGGTTCTCCAGGAAACCATTTTTTTCCAGGTTAGTTTCACTGGGCTGTGCATTTTAGGATCATTATGCCCTATCCAAGTTGCTAATGGACTGAACTAAAGTAACCTTGAAGGAACAATATAAATACAGCAGGACCTAATAGTAATTGCTTAGACTTCAAGGAAAAAAGCTTCAGATAAGTTCCTTTCTAGTGGCCTCCCTTTAATGACTGCTTGATGATGCCTTCTACTTTTTTTCAGGAACCTCTGCCCCTCACTCCACATGATCAGTACAGGGATTTGCAGTGTCCTTATATGACCCCCACTATTGGTCAGAGAGAGTAGGCACCAGGTGCATTGAGGTTCCCACTTAACAGCCAGTTTATTGAATAGGGAAAAGATGTTAGACCCACATTTGTGCACTGGGCTAACTGACTGGACTTGTAGTCAGGGATGAGGGGAGGCCTTTAATACTGGGAAACCATTTGTGGAATGCATAATACTGGGGAACCACTAATGATCATGTTTTGTGTCATTAAGAAGACATTTTGCAGCAAGTGCGAAAACACTGTCACGCAGAGAAGCCCTCTGTTTTTCTCTTGTAGTCTCACACCTTCCTGCTCCGGGCTTTCTCCTCTGCCTGAGATGTTCTTCATCTCTGACTCCACCTCCACCTCCAGCAACTTCTCCGCAAGATCTTGCTAGGGTGTAATTTCCTCTGTGAAGAACTTTTTCTGTTCCTCAGCACTCACTACAAGGAATCTTTCCTATCTCTGAGCTCCAGATCTCCTTCATCAGTCAGAAGCACCTTGAGTGTAGGAGCTGTGACTTAATTCCTTCTGGTAGTTCTCCTGTCCTCCAAGCACATGACCCGGGATACCATGAGTTTCTCGAGTAGAAATGTGCTCTAACTCTTGACAAATTGTCACCACAGCAGATCACTGGGGGAAATGGCTGTGGAGTAAGTCTTCTCATTTGCTTTACCATGTCCCATAGTATCCCTGGGTGAAGTAATCCATGTCCCTTCATGGGATCAAGGTCTCATTTTCCCAGATGATGGCATTCTCAGTGGTGTTACCACTTGGATGGGTTTTTGGAGGCATTCCCTTGCCTTTGCTGAATTATCAATAAATTAATTTGGGGGGCGGGAAGTTCACAGTACCTGAGCCTTAACTTTATCTCAAGGGATACAGTATACATACAATTGATTTGTTGAATTATCAAGGTACAGCGATACGTGATTTCATAAACAATTCCTTATGTTCTTTCGCTTGTAAACACAGTACCAATATTCACATATTTGGTGAGTATAGTGTATAAATATTGGGGATTTGGGGCTGAGGGCAATGGGTGCATCCCCACACAGGGTGGAGAAACCTGCGTGGTCCAAACTTTCTGAGTGGGGATTGAAAACACCCTGCTGGTGTGCAAGAGGGATATCTGCTCTATTCCTTTCTTCACTTATTGACTGCACCTCAGGAAGAACTGCTTAGGAGAAGAGACCTGACCTGTCATTCTTGATATTGGAATGAGGTGCCAGTGTGGGGTAGTTAGTGCCCTTAGGCTTACCTCAAGTATGTAGCAAAATCCAGCATGCCATTTTTATCCATTAATTCATTCATTGAACAAGTATTTAGTGAGTGCCTACTATGTCAGTGCTACAGGGAGAGAACTCTGACGTGTCCTGGTGAAGTCCCTTAGAGTTTACTTCCATAAGGAAGAGGTAATAAATTGGTATGAAGCTACTACCCATCTCACTGCAGGAAGGGGGTTGGCAGGATTCTTTGGACTCATAAGAAGAATGTATTGATTCAAGGGTGTTAGGGAAGCTTCTGTGAGGACAGTCAAAGACGAAAGAAGAGAATTCTGCCTGATAGAGCAGCATATGTAAATTCTGTGCCAAAAGGAGGCTGGCATCTGTGGAGTGCTGGAGAGTAGTGGGAGAATCACTGAGAGAGGGCCGCGAGGGGTCCTACCGTGTTAGAGAAGCTTGACTTGACCCTGGAGGCAGCTGAAAGTCTTCAAGCCTTTTAAGCAAAGTGATATGTTCAGATTCACACTTTTATAATGGTAAAAGTGCTTGCAAGGTGGAAAATGGATCAGAAGAGGCCAGATGAGGTAGGCAAGACACACAGCCACTGGGGCCCCAGTGGAAAATGATAGCAAATTGGACAAGGGTAAGAGTGGAGGAGATATATCCAAGAGAGGAGGTGGATTTGCAAAACAGGTGGCATTCAGATGTGCATCTTCCCAGGAGAGCTATGGAGAACATCTTACGTGATGGGATTGGTTTCCCGTTTTTGAATGAGAGAATCATCATCTACTGACCATGCTCCCCAGAGTACCTCTCTGGGAAGAGACCTGATATGCCATTCTTGGTAGTAGAAGGAGTTGTCAGCATATTCATGTATATTAATAGTGACAGAATGTCAATGCTGAGGAAAAACAAGTATTTTATTCATGCAGAAACAAAGAAAAAAAGAAAAGGAAGCTTTTTTAGTAGAAAAATGTTTTTGAACCCTTGAGGTACAAAGACAACCCTACCTCATGTAGCTTATGCTTGCTACTAAAATGTGTAAGAGAAGGTTTATACAGTGGAGACTGCAGTGTGATTCGAACATTGCAATAAACATGCAGCAGAAATTTAATGTGACTACTGACGTTAGTTTTTTTTCATGTGGGATTCTTCATTGTTAGGATATTTTGGAAGGTATATGACCATCTCTGCTCCTGAAAGTAAAATAATTCTAATTGAAGTGAGTAATTGTAGTCAAGAAAAAATAAGTCATTTAGAGCAGCCAGTTTCTTGTGAAAACATTCCAAGCCCAACAAGCAATTTTATTCCTGTGTTTATCCCTAGGACTCCATTCCTATGCCATAGAGACACAGAGTGTTCTATGTGTCTCTGAGCAGAGACCTAATTAACCATGAAGGTGCTTTATGGTGAGGAATCCTGCTTATTCATGGTGTTTTAACATCTATGAAAAGGAAATACCACGGCTTTTAGGTCTGGTCACGCAGCCATAGGTTTCCATTGAGAAACATAACTGGGAGGGGGCATATTCCTTAGATAAATAAACTGACTAAAAATATGTCCTGCTACGGAAGAGAAACAAGAAAGACCAACACTGTTCTTGAACTGATCAAGATGACTTGAAGTAAAGCACATTATATATGTATACACATACATGATATATAATGCGAAACAAGTGAGAATATATATATATATTACATTTCCTTAGAGCAAATATATATATAATGTTAAATAAAAGAGAATATTACCCTGATGCGGATATTTTAATCAGGTAACATCCTTCAAAACATGAAAAATGTGAAATCACAATCAAATCCAATTAGACCCCTGGATTGCAATTTCAAATTATTTAATATAGCTTTCTCTCATAATGAAAAATTATTTTGCAACAATAACAGCCAAAATTTGAATTAACTAGAGGACTGGAAAAGAAAGACAGAAAAACAACATGTGCCTCAACCAACTGTAAAACAGTAAAAAACCCATAAGGGTAAAGACTAAATTTCCAGGGCTTTCAACTTTTCAAACAGGTTTGAAGAAGGCACAATGCCATTTTTCATATGGTGCGCCGTTACCTGGTGGTAATTTTCCCCAGCTCTGGGTCTATTTTCAGCTGCATGGACCAGTAACTTTTGTTTGTAGCCGTCAGACGGTCTAGACAGACAATTCTTTTGAGGTGTGTTCTCTTTTGATGGGTTTATCAGGTTTCTGCCCCCATTTTTCCTTTATAGCTTTCTATATCTTCCTGTGTCTCCTGCTTGCATGTGTAATGTCATGACGTTCAGTAACAAAGGTCATTCTGTGGCCTAGAGTCTTGTACACTCACAGAAACAGTGGGGGAGGAGAGTAGCATATAGTATTCCAAGCATACCCCAAATTCTCTTGTGAGAATAATTCTTTCCTCACCTACTTCCAGAAAAATAATTAGTTCTACCTAACTCTCCACATATACTATGGGCATTCTGGCCATAATTTTCCCATTTTTAGATGGGTAACTTGATGCAATTAATTAAAACTTTACATATTCATTTTCCCCTCCTACAAGGGTTATGGGATTGTTTTAAGGATTACAGAAAACAAGGACCTCAAAAGTTCTCCATTCATTGCCTGCAATATTATAAAGCAATCAATAAATGTTAACTGTTCTTATTAAAGGTCCATGACACAATCATTAGATCCCCAGCAGGAAAACACTAGGATTATGATGTGTAGAATTATGTATTTGTAAACATCATACATATCTTTATTTCCCCTGGCAAGCTTCATTTTATATGAGGACAACAACCACAAGAGAGGATTACCTTAAAAAAAAAAAAGAGTGGGTTGCTTTAATGAAGTTGTGCACAAGCATGGGGATATTTTTATTTATTTTAGAGTAGGAGTACTGTGCTCTGGCACGTCTGTCCTGCTGGGTGTGTGAATTATTTAAAAATCAAACACAGAAATCAAAGCAGTACTGTTCAAGATGCAGCCAGAGCTAGACTGGAGACACACAGGCGATGTAACTCATGTGAAGGCGTAGGTCGCACTTTATGCTAAGTTGAACAAAGCGGGAGGATGACAAGCATAAATTTATTAAAATCAGTGGGAAATGGCCAGTTGAGAGTAACAAGAACATTTCTGTAGATACACTACTATATATATATATACGCTACAAATAAGCTTGCAACTCTCCTCCAGAAGTATTTGAGTAGGAAATAAAACCTTTTCCCAGTGGATGAAATAACAGTCGTTTCTGCCAATCTAAGCAAAGCAGATTCAAATTTTATATGTGTCCAACTGCTTGTTCCCCCTTAGCTAATAACCTGCATGCTGGAAACATTTCAAATAAAAGGGAGTTCACAGCCCCGTAGCCCGGCTCCGAATATATCTACCATGCATGTAAACAAGTAAACCATTATGTTTCTTATTGAGATAAAGAATACAATGATAAGTGGAGACTTTACAAAACAAAGAGCTTCCTATTGCGAGTGTGGATAATCTTCCAGAAAACCCCGTGTTTTGGCAAATCGCACCAGATTAATCTATTAGGCATCTCCTTTCATTATCAAATTTCCGCTCCCTATCACAGTGGCTGCCTTATCAAGCACCTCGTTTTCAATAGCAGCCCCATTCCTAAGATTTCAGATGCTGGCCCTCCCTGTTCAGAAAACAGGTGTCCCTACTGTTTGAGGCAGCAAAGGTCCCTGCACAGAAGCCTGGGAAAGGGCAGGGCTATCAGCCTCGGTTCTACCTGAAGGAACAGGTAACAGAAAACTGTTGATTCAATGAATAGAGCTTAATTGGCACACGTTAGGCAGGAGTGACTGTTTTTGAGAATTAAAATTCCTTAAAAATTTCCCACTGACAAGAAAATCTTGAAAAAGAAAAACACAGGAGATTGTTTTGTAATAATCCAATGGACAGTTCCAAACAATGAAACTCTTCTTTGGGAAGTTCCTTTATAAACATAATATTTGCCCAAATTCATTCTTAAAATGGAGTGTGGCAGTGGACAACAACTCCGCAAAGTTGCCTGGGGGCTTACCCTGTGGAGTACATTGTCTATATTTGGAAAGAAATACATTTCATGGCTGTAAAGGAGGCTAGCATTGCAAGTTAATTAGTATAATGTATCAGGTTTGCTGCTTCTCAGTATCTGCGTTGCTAGCAGGTCTTCTTTTTCTTACTTAATAAAACTGAGCATGTGGTTTCTGACCAGATCTTTTATGTGCCAGGCCAGGATTACCCACCAGCACTACTAACAAAATTCCCAGCTTTAACGATGATGTGCTAGAATACTCACAAGGAACCACCTCGTTGGTTGTTTATATTAGACATAATATTTGTAGCACAGATATATGGCATGTTTACATTGAAATTTACTCGTAAGTGGTCATGCAGAAGAAGATGATTATTATGTTTTGCTTAGCCAATGCCAAAATGTCTTTATTTCTTCTTGTCAACTCAGTACTTGGCAAGTTCCTGTCTTGCTAGTATATCTGTGCCATCTGCATTCCTCGGCAAGGAGAAAGACTCCTTTCTCTGCCTTGAACTTAGCACTTAAAAACTTGGCTGATGTGTGCTTTACTGTAATAAAATGAAAGCATTCAGGAAGTCCACCACACTGACAACCAGAAGATCCAGTCTGCCTGCAGCTTCCCCGCCTGATGGCAGAAGGCTCAGAGATGGGTGCTGGGTCTGCAGGGTGGGTAGGAAGCACTTGATAAGTGCATGCCTTTGCTTCCGGCCCTCTACAGCACCAGCTTTGTTTCATCTACAGATGATTAAATGGTCTACAGGGCAATTATAAACTGGAGGAAGGAACGGCCAGCTCTCTCCAGGTTTCCTCAATCAGCATGATTGAATTTCTCAAAGGCAGGCAGCAGTAGCAGAAGCCGCTTCAATGACTTTTCCTGGAAAATGTTCGGCAGCTCAGAACCAAGTCTTTCATTTAACTACTTGCTGTTTCATTTTATTATGTGCAAATTGGAGCTTAATAGATTTACAGTACCTATAAACCCTCAAGTGTTAGGGTAGCCCAAGTGGCTAGTACATATTAAAATGACTGGTATAAATCCAAGAAATTGATAGTTGAAAATTCTAACCAGGGGCAGAATAAACTCTTGATAAATGGCATACTGACATCCTACATTATTTCCATTCAGGAAGCAATATTTTTATTGTCCCTTATAAATGGTAGGGAAATATAAGATGGTCATTTTGAGGAAGGAAAAATGGGAGAACCTCTTGGGAAAAATTCAAATAACTATCACATCACAATCAAAAGGTGTAGATGGTGTTCTTAAAGTATTTGGCTTAGAAACATAATGGGCAAATATGTATATAAATACAAGACTTAACTTACAGGTTTCATTTTTAAAAAAAAGTCAATATTACAGTGAATTTCTTTCCTCTTACCTGCACATTAAATATCAATAAAAGCACAAAAGGTCACCATTGAAGTTCAGCACATTAATTACTAAATCTGTGGCATCCTCCTCACCATGGATTTCTGTCTGTAACAATCATAAGCAGATCAGATTCCCAATGGATGTTTACAGATATGTTGCCATAATCTATGACCCAAATGGAGACTCTAAAACTAGCTTCATTAAAACTCTGCAACTTATTTGGGCAATTGGAGCACAAAAAAAATCCTGGCCTAGGTGTCATACTCCCTGTATACAGTTCCCAGTGCTTGCTAACTTGTTGTTTGACGTTAGACTCTGTCTTAGCCTTGACTTTGGATCTCTGGGATTTGGATTTCTCAATTATTGCAGAGGCTTCTGTCATTCCTTTATGTCATCTATGGAAATCAGACATTGTTTAAAAAGCAAACTAGCTTGGAAATATAAAATGGTGTATCAAGCACATAACAATAATGCTTTGTTAAAAATAGGTCACGGGAGGGATTAGATTGGTTGTCTAAGTTGGTTTGTTGTTTACCGGTCATCAAAAATATCTCTAAGGATTTGGATGGTGAGCCTAAACATATGGTCTGCAAGAGGAAAGGGCTAATAAAATTTTAATGTGATGAATTTCTTTACATTTTCTAACTAGAGTTTCTGAGAGAATTGCATAAGAACTGGCATGTAGTCCTGAGTCTGTGGTGGCATGCCACCATTTTAAGCATGAGTGGCTGTAGTTTAGAGACTACTGTTTGAATGCTCAAGTCAGGGGTGGTTAAGTCTGGACAATTTCATTACCAGGCAGAACAAAGTGAGTCCTAATTTTACATGACTCATCAGAAACAAACACAGATCAGTAAACACTAAATAATAAAAATGTCATAAAAGGCTTTCATCAGGATAATATGATTTTTTTGCTATCATTAAGAGAATCTTTTTGCTCTAGATTATATAATAAAACCTATGGACAAATACTAATCTTAAGAATCTGAGTTCAAACTCACCAATTTAAGTGACTTGAACATTTACTACATTTTTACTCCAGATTCATTTTATTGACTAATTTATTTTTTGTATGAATGTTTTACAAAGGGAAATCAACTTAATGTATTAGAGTTAGAATTGAGTGATTACTTAATTATTCAGGATCTCAGTTATTTCAATATTTACCAAAATTTAAACAAGTAAAATGATATGAAACTCAAGTCAATTAGATTCTTAACTTTTTGAAATTGATAGAAGACTTGAAGTAGCAGGAAAACAAAAGGAAATGTTACTTTACATGCTTTAGTTCAGGTACAGAATGTACTAATGATCTTAGTTTGCTACTATGTTTATCAAAGACAGTTGGCACTTTGTAACTCATTGAGAAATAATAAGATGAATACATGATATATTCCAAATGGAGCAATAAAATGAATTTTTGATCAAAAATATTAAAACAAACCAACTATATTCAAAAAAATTGTTCTCTGAAGAACTTTAGCATGGTTTCTTTAAGTTGTTCTAAATCTTTTAATTCTTAAAAACGCATACACAAAGGATTCAAGTACAATTAACATCTCTCTCTAGTTTTCTTCTGTTTATAAATTTCTAATCTTCCTAAAAGCAAAGGACGATATACTTATCTACTGCAAAACATCATTTGAGAAAAAAATTCCTTTATGATATGTCCTTGAAATACATCTGTTTTATATAATGTAGGTAAGAGAAGTCTTTAATTCATCCATCCACACAGCCACTTAAAGTGTAAGAATATATAAAGTATAATGTGATTTGGTGCATTTTTGTTGTGAAACTTAATATTAAAATGGTTCAGATGCTCCTGAATGTAATTGAAAAACTGTATAGACTTCCACCCTTCATTAACAAAGGACAGATGTAGAGATAATAAGCCTCCTGATTGGAGAATAGGTTGTCGTGCAGCTGTTAGCACAATGCAGTAAAGGGAGCCATTTGCAAATCTCATTAATAGTTCTACCATTTTCCACCACTTGAATGAAAAGTGATAATGTATGGATCTCCCAGTCATTAAGAATTTTCCGTTACTCCTTTAGGATTAATTTGCGCTGACCCAGAATTTTGTATTTGCTTAACACAAGCCATGGGTTACTTTGATGTTATCTGCTTCTATAAACAGTAATATACAGTCCTCTCCTGGGCTAAAACAGCTCTTATTCCAGTGAGAATTGATGGTATTAATCATTCTGAAGTCCGTGAGTGCTGATCATAAATTGTACGTGGGGACCTCACTTAGTACCTCCCAAGACTCCCATTCATTCAGCAAGTCTTCTTTTCCATCTGGACGTAAAGTATATAAAGAGCAATTTATCTCAGAACTTAGGCTGTGTGATCTTTTGGATGTCTAGGTGACAACAAGAAACATTTGAGAGCAAATAAATGTTTATTCTCCTGTGTTTTCAATAGACCTGAATTGCCTACAATTTCTAAAGTCTGATTCCCTCAAGCGGCCAGAATGGAAAATGCACATCTTGCCTTTGAGTTTTAGGCTCATGAAGCAAATTGGAATGACAGCGAACGAACAGAATCATTTTTCAACGAGGTTAAAATAAAAGATCTGAATTTTAACTCATGACGACATCAACACAAACTTACTTTTGCCATCCTTTAAAGGTGAGAGCCTAGAATTTATGAACTGACAGGCCAGGCCTAAAAAATGCGTAAAAATTACCTAATTATTCCAATTCAGTCTCTAATACATTTTGTTTAAAATGCCACCTGTGCAGATCTGCAGATATTTATCTTAAACAAAAGCTGAACAAATAACTCAGGTTCAGATCAATACAAATCAAAAATGAAACAGAAATCAATTTCTCTGTAAACATATTATTTCAGAATCTTTTTTTCCACATCACCCAAGTTAGTTCTCAAATCTGAAAAATGGTTGAGTTTGGTAATTTAGTTTTCAGGGAAAGCTGTATACCAATTTATACAGATTCAAATTCTTGACCACAAAGACATTTTTGCAGCATTTCTTGCTTCATCTTAACTTTTAGCCTGGATTTGTACATTTTGGAGTTCTCCCTTTTTCACTGGGAGCCTGTGGTTTTAAAATTTCGCTGGGCTCCAGACTTATCGGTTTGTGAGTTTATCTTATGTTAAGCACCTTAAAAACCCAATCCTTAAAATGCCAGTAGAAACAACTAAAATATAAATAAATCTTTGCACTGAGCCAAAAAATTCAATTTAGGAAAGTAAACCTGAAAGATTTTTGCTAGAGTGTAAACTGAAAAGATTAAAAACATTCAAGCACAAAAATTTTCAATTGCAGTTATAAAATTCACAAATCTTTTTTTTTTAAATTATGAGACCAGAAAAGCAGCAGAAACAGATAATACTCAAAGTTATTCTACAGACAGCCACTTGATAGTCTTCTCTGAAGAACTTAGTTTGTGCAGAGTTCTGTTTTCAGAGCACAACTTTCTCGGTGTAACAGTAGTTTCTTGCTGGATTTCTGCGGGATGCTTGTTTCCATGTTTAAAAAGTGTCACTTAAAGATTGCACCGTTCAGTGAATGAACACTGAAAGAGTTGCAAGTAAAGAGTAGCACAAGTACTGTTGCTTCTTTCTTTGTATTCAACTCTGTTCTCTGAGGGTTCTAATCAGAATGGTATGCGGACAATATGTGCAAATCATATATCTGTATCCAGAATATATGCAAAGAATTCTTGTAAGTCAATAGTAAAAAGAAATAACCTAAGTAAAATGGTCAAAAGGGTTGAGTAGATATTTCTCCACAAAATATTCATAAATGTCCAATAAACATGGGGCAAGATGTTAAACATCATTAGTTACTAGAGAAACACAAACCAAAACCACAACAAGATACCATTTCATATGGTTGTAATAGGCAAACAATACCAAGTGTTGACAAAAATGTGGAAAAATTGAAACATTTATACACTGCTGATGGGAATGCAAGATTGTGGAGCTACTTCGGAAAATGTTTTTTTATGGAAAATGTTAAAAACTATGACCTAGGCATTCCACTTCTTTTTTGATTCCTTTTTTGTACTTTTCCCCCTTTTATTTTAGAAGTTCCACTTCTAAGTGCCCATCTAGAAGCAGAGGCAGTATATGTCCACACAAAAACTTGTATGTGAATGCTCATGGTGGGTTATTCACAGTACTGCAAAGTAGAAACAACCCAAATGTCCCTCAGCTGAAGAACAGGTAAGCAAAATGTGATAAATCCATAAAACACAATATTATTCTAATAAAAATGAAGTAGTGATATGTGCTACAGTATGTGAGAATCTCAAATGCATGAACTGCTGAGCCTTAAAAATGTCTATGGAGAGTATTATTTTCATCTTCAGTGAACTAAGCCAGTCACAAAAGAACAAACACCAAATATTTATAAGGAATACCCAGACAAAGAAAAACTATAAAGCTAGAAAGTAGACTAGTGCTTGCTTCAGTCTGGGGTGGCAATGAGGAATGGCTAACTGGACGTGAAGTTAGCCCTTAGGGTGACAGAAATGCTCTAAAGTTAGGTTGTGGTGATAGTTGTACAACCCTTTTGATATACGAAAATGTTTTGAGTTGTACACTTAAAAGAGGTGAAAAATAAATTTTTGGTATGTAAATTGTATCTCAATGCAGCTGTTAAAAATTAATCCAAGTTAAGAGAGACATAGGGGGCCACAGAACTGGGTGGCCTTCTAAGTCAGTCCTATTAAGGAGCTTTGTCTTTTTTCCTTGTAGCAATGGCAAACCATAAAATAATTTTAGTGAGAGTGTTAGTGATTTTACAATAGAATTTGCATTCTGAAGACCACTGGTATGGCTACCACGTATAAAATAGTTGGGAGTTGGAAGTATACGTTAAGTAGTTTTTTTTTTTTTTTTAACTCTCTTATGCTCACCAAGTTCTAGGTTCCTAACTTCTAAATTATCATATTCAGTAGTAATTTACCCATTTACTTGCATTTATGTACCCATTTACCCTTTCTTCCTGCAAGTAGAGACGATGTCTCTAACTTTGTATTCCCAGCGTCCAGCACTTGGTTAGTCTGGTACTTTACAAGCTCTCTCTTAATGTTTATACAATGAATGATGAAAGAAGCACACACACTTGGAAAATCTCCAACTTTCATTCTACCACTCTCTGCTAAGTGGCTGCCAGGCTGGTTGTCTTCTATTACAGTTGGTAATTTTTCAAATGGAATCATAGTTTGATCTTTAATTAGGAAATTTTGTATCATTATCATGCTATCTACTTTGACCAAAACTCTTTGGAAATCAATATTTTAGGCAAAATGAATAAACCAAAAATTATTTGTGAATAAGAACATATTCTCTGTGTGTCTACTTCAGCTGTGCAAACACTCGTAACAAAATTTTAATTTACAGATTGCCCTAGTTTTGTGAACTTTCAGCTTAAATACAGTAGCCTGCTTCAATAAGTTGAACATGGTTTGTTAAGCTAAATAAGTTGTTGATAAAACTAATTATTCTGTCTATCAGATTGATGTCTAAGATACATATGCCAATAATATGAGGGTAAAGCATCTTTTGCAAGAGGCTTATATAATCACCTGTTCGTTTTATTTCATTTTTAAGAGAAAGAAGGGAATAATCTTATACCATTAAAAGATTAAGCCAGAGCCAAACCAAAAAGCTCCCAGTTTACATTCTGGAGACAGTCTGTGTTCAGAGCAATCACATTTACAATGTTCCTATGCTGTTTTGCAGGAGGATTTAAACTCAGGATTATGACCATGAGACCTTGAATGATTCTAAAGAGGGAAATAAAGATTCAATTCTATTGTATAGAGGGTCACAAATAATGCTAAAGAAAATAAAGAACACTTTTGAAAATATATTGGTCAGAACCGTTTTCTGTCATGTTATTCATTTGAAAATCTATTATGCAACCATAGCTAACTGTCACAAAATGAATCCCATGGCAGTTTTTTTGATATTCTCTTAGCTAGAAGCTCTATGGAGTCCTTATTTCTCAAAATGAATAATTGGACTTCACTGTCACATATGCTACATGAATCAGTCACTGATTATCCTCTAGCTGTCTTCTATACTCGCTTCCTGACTTACTGGACACAAAGCCAAACTGACATGAAAAAAGCAACTGTCCAGCAATCATCTCAATCAGCTGTACAGGTTAATTTTTTGAAGTTCAAATTGATCAGTTATCTAATTTGATGGATTGTTTCTGCATTTGTATCTTGGGAGTCACTGTTGGCATGCTTTTTGATTTGGTGTAGTGACCTAGGCCAAGATCTTCATTATTTTAGCCAATACAATTTTCCATTTCTTATAAGTAGTCTGGCATTTTCAAATCACTGCATTAAATTTGGGGTAACATTTTTCAATTTGCTTTTTTCACTGAGCTCTACCTAAAAAGACTGTCTGACATCCTAAGGCTTAGATGTATTTAAGCAATTTGAAAGAAGAAAAAAAAAAGGCAGAAGAGGTAAAACTATGTTTCTTTCATGTTACTATCACTCAAAAATAAAAGCAGATTTCAGACTAGACCCTTACCCACAAATCAACTTTGGGAAGCATCAAACAGCAATTTAGTTTCAAAAGAAGAAATTTTTAGAAAATGACATAAGCCATTATGATTGTAGTGCAAAACAATTTGGAATCCATCTACAACATAGTCTTTATAAAGGCCATGTGCTGTTTTAAACATTTTCACTTTAATAAGTTAGATTATAGGTATGATATAAACCATCTGCATCTCTCTGGTTGCAAACAGTGAATTTTCTTCTTGTAAGCCGGCCTGGACCTCAGTTTTGAGAGCCGGGAGGCCAGCTGACTTTCCTGGACATGGTAGCCATCTTTTGTAATAGAATCCGAAATAAGAATATGCTGTGGCAATTATAATGTGGTCTTATAGTTTTCCAAATTGGTTTTGAGTGCTGTCTAAATATTATCTTTATCCTGTATTTTCCATTGAAGTTGTTGTCGTTTAAAAGAAAAGGAGAGATTCTAGGAAGACCCCAAAGCTCAAAGGCTCAAAATTTTGCAGTAGTCACAAAACTTTATATTTTAGCCATCTAGGATTTTAAAAAATCCATTAATGGGGGTTGAGAAAGGTCCACCACAACTTGACAAATCTGAGGCTATTTGGCAAGGCACTTGTTTGCATTCCTGAATAAGCGTCTAAGAGGTGTCACTAGACCTGTAGGCATTAGCATTTCTAGGGGAGAGGTGACATTATGGTTCATGCAGTCTTCTTGTGGCTTGTGTTTTAAAGCAGACAATAAGCAAGCTAAGGTAAAAGAGGTTATCAGTCTTAGACATCTCATTAGGATCCAGGAAGGTAGTGAAAGGGAAACCCAAACAGTACTCACCTCTACAGCCTGAGACCTCCTCTAGTAGGTAAGAGAAAAGTCGTAGGGAGCAGGATGCAGTCAAGTATTACAGAGAACAGTTCAAAAGAGGAACAACCAACGTCAGCAGATGGAGCACAGGGTGCTGAGTCAGCTTGCAGAATCAAAGGAGAGGCCAAAGTCCCCAACAATGGAGCAGCGACATCAGGAGAGGGACAGCACTCTGTCCATGATTTGCAGTTTCACAGCCACATCCTTCTGGTGGGCCTGGCTGGACCTTCTCTTCTGAGAGTTACTTGTGGACTTTTCCTGTGTATCAGCAGTGGCCTGGGCTAAGCAGTTAGTCCGCACTGCTGCGATGCGTGTGCTTATGTAGTCCTTGCAGCTTGCACCTCCGTACGCCAGACACTGCAACTTTCTGGCAGGTACAAACAAGACAGTTAAGTAAAAGGTAATGTCTATTGGAAAAAACAATTCAGCGACTTTATGCAGCGATGGGTTCTGGGTTAATTTTAACATGTCAGGGAAAAAACGATCCAGCCACACATGATAAAACCACTTTGACAGCTCAATGGAAGTTCCATATATAATGGCTGGCTGGCAGCAACCTCAGTGTGCTCTGCTTCGTGGAAAAAGAGCCCAGCACACAGGGACCTTAGGATGTCCCAGCAGTAGGTCATTACTGCCTAATACTCCAGCAGTCTCCAAGAAAGTAGCAAGTATGGTGAAGGCACACAGGTCCCACATAGAAATTACCAGGATGTGTTACAGTGTTATTATATATGTAGGCTCATATATATATATATATATATATATATATATATATATATGGGTTTGACTTTAGAAAGCGTGTGATAGAACAAAAATTAAAGATCAATAATACTCTTTTAGCTCCTAAACTTTTGCAAAGTGAGGAGTGCTTTGATCTCTAGAAAAAGAACTATGGTAGCTTTAATTTAGAAAGAAATGAGACTTTAATAAACTTGCATTGACCACCTGTTATATACAAGGGAGTGCCATAAAAAGATACATAAGACACACATGTTCCCCTTGTGGGCCTCACCAGAACCTAGTGAAATACAAGAAAAACCATTTTTACAAATAACTACTTATAAGAAGGAAGCTGAGAATGCTTTCAGTGGAGGCCCTTATGAAACGCTGCTAAGGTACGTCAAGTGTGGGCTTATTCTAGAGCTTTCCTGTGAAGCACCAGCTCTGTACCTTCTGGTGTCCTGGGGCCCTCATGTCTTACGTTCAGTAGCAGCTAAAATACTTGAAGCTGTCCCATGCAGGGTGAGTGAGGCATGGGGTGTGTACAGGTGCTTACGGCGGATAAATCAGAAGTCAGATTCTCATTGGAAAGGTCACACTCGCATTGTGCTTTCTTCTCTCTCAAGGATTGCCCCTTCCCACCTTTGCTGCCTCTTACCCTCTGTTGTCAAGATGTCTTGTCCCATGTGCTGGCATCTTTCTAGCACCATCTGTAGCTGCTGTGCTTGGCCACACCTGTCCTTGGGCAGTGCCAGCATCTCTTGCTGCTTATGCCCACGGTCTGAGCATCTTGTACCCCCTTTGTGTTCCAGCAAGCCACACACCCCAGCTCCATGGATGGGAATGCACTCATGGGATGCTCTCCAGGTCCGACCTAGGACAAGGGGATGGAAGCTTTTATATCGGGCCCTTCTCTCCTCCTAGATAGTCCATGCTGCCGTGGGTTCTGTGCTGCAGCCAGAACATGTGGGAATACTGTAAGTCTCCCTCTGCCCATGATTCCAGGTGGGACGCAGCATCCAGGCTGCTCTGCATTCAGAATCCTAATCTGGAGCTCTACTGCAGGGCTCCCCTTGCCGTTCCTAAGGTCAGGTCCCACG